GTACCCAACCATCGTCGTCATCATCATCGTTATCATCATTATCAATATCCTGGCTTTCATCATAACTGACCACAAACGGAATCCTCTTATTGCGGGTCATCCCCGGCAAACTGCATACATGTAACATATATTTTATACACATTTATATTTAAGCCACAATCCGCACCCCGCAGCTCTGAAATGCGGTTTGTTGGAATTTCCGAACGTTCGATGCCTTTTTTGTGGCTGGCTCTTGTGGCATGAATAAAATAAATACAAGTTGTGCCATACGTGCATGCATGTGTCCGGACTCCGGAGGCGGGGTAATCCATTCATTGATTTGACATTTTCAAGTATTTCGATTCACAGCTGCAACGCCAGCACATGAACGGCATTCTCGTCCCGAGGTGGAATTGCAATACCCATAAATTCCCGTTGGGCGAGCTTACACTTACATACACTTACCATCCATTTGCGATAGCATACCTTATCGTCACCAAAATATCACCCACACACATCCACACACACACACACCCACACCCAAACCCACCCATCAGTGCGAGTCGTTTATTTCACTTAACTGGAGAATTTCGAAATTTTCACTCTAATGCTATTTTATGTGTCTAGTTCTGACTTGCTTACTCAACACCACAGAATAGCAATAGCAATAGCAAACATTTACTTGACTAACCGCTCTCCTCTGCCAACTCCCTTCTACCTCTCTCTCTCTCTCTTGTTTCTCGTGCCTTCTCGCTCTCTCTCTCTCTACCCGCAGGGCTTCATCAAAATCTATAAGCAATTCTTCCCCGACGGAGACCCCAGCAAATTTGCCTCCTTGGTATTTCGTGTCTTCGATGAGAATAATGTGAGTATGGCAACCATATATAATATTTAGAGGGCTTTGAATAATGTCTAAAAGTATGCAACAATATAGTATGTAACCGAAACTCCAAGGGTGTTCATTACGCTAGACGATCACTGCATACTTTTAGCCACTATTGTAAGTGATTTCCAAGCCCAAGTAATTTCTAATATCTATCTATTTCTATATTTATAGGATGGCGCCATTGAGTTCGAGGAGTTTATTCGGGCCCTGTCAATAACATCACGCGGAAATCTGGACGAGAAGCTGCACTGTAAGTAATATAAACTAATAAGCTTGATGTTCAGAAAAAAACAGCCATAGAATTAAAATTATTGTTACACAAAATCTACATTAGGTATGGAAAACTTCTTAATAAGATGCGTACCTGTTTATATATGTTTTGAAAAAGAGCCAAAATTAAACTTTAAATATTTAAATAGCACCGCAGATGGAGAAATGGAAACATTTCTGCTTTGAAATTAAAATAAAAAGAATTTGTATGCCATATTTTAATGGTCATTATAAATGCTCAAAGATATTAAAGTCAAATTGTGCTGAGCATTCCTCTAATCGCTTTAACCAGTTTTATTTTGCACTGAAATTCTTTTTATTGTAGACTAATTAGATTAAGCTGCCACTTGGGTAGCAGTGCGCTAATCAAATAACAAGAATTTACATTAAAAATTATAAAAATTAATTACATTACTTATATTTCGCAGGGGCCTTCCGTTTGTACGATGTGGACAACGATGGCTACATAACCCGCGAGGAGATGTACAACATAGTGGATGCCATCTACCAGATGGTGGTGAGTATCGCTACTCCTGCCCAGTTACGATAGCAACGCTACAGTGAACACTCGCTTTGCAGGGCCAGCAGCAGCAGACGGAGGACGAGAACACGCCGCAGAAGCGGGTGGACAAGATCTTCGACCAGATGGACAAGAACCACGACGATCGCCTCACGCTGGAGGAGTTCCGTGAGGGCAGTAAAGCTGATCCACGTATAGTGCAGGCGTTAAGTTTAGGTGGTGATTAACCGCGATTAACCTGTAGTCGCGCGGATTATGAGGCGGAGTCGGATGAGGATGTGGGGGGGCGGGGAGGGAGCGATAGTGACAGTGTGATAGGAGACAACAACGATCAGCGATCAGAATGGTCAAAGGTCGCCCACACAAGCATGCCCACACACACACACACACCCGTGTACCATATGCCATTTGACCTCTTGGGTGGCAGTTTGTTAGCCCCCAACCTCCCACTCCCACTTCCCCTCCCCCATACACACCCACACAAAGAACGCTCATACACACACACATACACACACGCACAAACACAGTGTTTGGTCCCTTGAGAACTTGTCTTAAGTGAAATTCCAACTAATAGCAAATTATATACTCATATATACATAATATTTCAATTAACAACAGCCAAGCCGCATAAAGCTAAAAAAAAAAAAAAAAAGAAAATTGTTACAAAAACTCTGAAAACTAAATGAAAACAAAAGAACACCAATTTAAGTCAAAGAAGCGCTTTTTTAAAAACATATATTGAATAAATACATATATATTTATGTGTGTGCGGCAAGTATCGATAAATATAGGTATTAAATAAAAGAAAAAACCTATTTAAAATAGCTACTAGGCACTTGCTCCATAATGATCTTAGGCATTTTTATTGAAATGCTTGCCAAGCAAACGGAAAATTTAAATTCACAATAAAATTTATAAGTGCCGAAATTAGGCCACTGAACAATTGGCACATTTATTTTGCGCGAAAACAAAAATCGGAATTAAATGAAGCTACAGCTACTATACCTAAATATATGGATATACACAATGCAGCACCGACTCAGCTGGTACTTATACTTAAAGCCTATACCTATATACCGATATTTATACCGATACTAGTTCACTGTTGGCATAGAAGCCCACTCGATTGTTTTGATTGGTTTTGGCCAGGCCAGCTGCTCTAACTGTTGATAATCGAATCGAACGTGTTGATAATCGCAATGAAGTTTAACTTAAGCTAAGGCCCCCAAAAATATACTTTAGCCAAGCAGATAACCGACTCTAGAAGTTGAAAGTCCTTTTGTGACAAAAAAAAAGTTGTGGACACATTTGCATGTGGATAACGTAGCGATAGCCAGCATGCGGCTTAAGTATGATACTCCTCTTGGATCTTTAAGTTCCACCCTCTCCGTTCATCATTCTTCCCACATTGAGCTTGACAATCAACCTGATTTTGCTGCGGACCATGAAATGGTTCCCCTCACCCTTTCGCCTTTCTACAAATCCATTGCATTGGGGACAAGAGGAGTTCACACCTAGATGAATCTTTGATAGAACTTTAACTCTTTTCTATGTGTTTATTGTGCATGCCTTACCAGAGCAACGATAATATCAAATTGTGTATTTCTACACGTATTTGTACTTGTTTTTTTTACACCTCACCAGAGCTTGAAAGTATATCGTATTGAGGGGGGCAAAAAGAACCCCTCTTCTAATGCCTTACCAAAAAATAACAACAGAAACTATGGTCCCTATCATCGACTCACTCTCTATCTCTCTCTCTCTCTCTCTCTCAATCGCTCCATCTCTCTCTGATACACACACATGACTTTCGTTTTGGTTCAATTTTTGTGTTGGAACAGCTATCTAATCACCATGCTAAAATAATTTCTATATTTTATATGTGGTTCAGCTTTAGATCGTAAACAGAACTTCAACTTTATTGTAAAGGAACTTTCTCGGTAGCTCGTTAAATGAACACTTTTATAGGAAACCATATCCAACTTTTCCTATCTTTCCTTCGCCCTCATATACATTGATATCCCTTATTATTTTAATGTTGCCTTGTAGAGAAACTTATATTTTTGGCTTTAAGTCCCGCTTAGAAATCCAAATTAAATCAAATTCGAAAACTAAAGATTTTTTGCTTTGCCCCTGAGGTTTCAGATTGGATCGGCCCCAGATAATGCTTGTCTCATCCTCTCTGACACCGATATTCCGATTCCAAATCCGATTCAGAGGTTTCCATCATGTTTTTTTGTTTGCCCAGCACCCGATACATATTTCTAGTTGTACACTCGTATTTAAATATACATAGATAAAGGCCAAATAAATTGATATACACACTATATATCTAGGGAGAGAAATAAATATATATACATATATATATATATATGTATACACACACAGATATTGATAATTATATATACACCTATTATTATATAGAAATCCCCATTTGTATTTTACTTGTGCAATTTGCAAATTGTTTTTGCATAGATTTATTGTTGGAAACGATTTGAATTTAAGAACACACTCACACTTACATTGCACACGTTTGCATGCCTTTCTCGAGAAAAAAAAAAACCAAAAATAAATCAAGCGAAGCTGAGAAGATATCGATATCTATATATACGAAACTATGATTATATCTATACATATATGTATGCAACAGATACAAATCAACAGTTCGATGGAAAAACAAACTAAAACAAACTGCAGCAACAATCAATTTTCGCGCTTCTTACACTTGAACTCAAACTCCAAATTATTGTGAAACTACATACATATATTGTACATACAAAGGGCGGAAAGTTTGAGTTCCCTATTCTACCATACAAAATAAAAAAAAAATCCACCCTAGTCTCTAAGAAAATCCCCATTTTCACGGCCAGAAACAGAAACACGTACTATATTGCTATTAAAGCTACTAGGAAGCTTAAAGATAATCTCGAAAACACCTTTTGTCGACTACTCTATTGATATGTATTTTTTTGGGTATCTAGTAAGCTACTACATTGATAACGCAAACTATTCTGATAGCAGATGAAAACCTTACTTTGTGTGCATTATATTCAACATAAGCAATACTTTATTTAGCATTAGAATGCATTAAGCAATGTTTATTAACAATTAAATCGATTATAAACCAAAGCCCAAGCGGAAACTCATTCTCACATTATACATTCTACATACAGACACAAACATAACTAAAAAGTTTTTGAAATTATTGCGAAAAGAAAAACTGAAAGCAAAAGAAAACGAACTTGGAGTTTTATTTAAGAGCTATGTCGAAAGTGATTTGAAATCACTTGGAAGAAAGAATTGATGTAAAACGATTTAACTTCGCAACAGATTATTTATTATTAAGGATGATCAAGCTACTTGCTAACCTAATTACACACCTAACTAACCCAGAGTAATCGACTGGCAATTCCAATTTTAACGTGGCGAGGTAAGGATCTTTGGCGGGGATTGCCCCGGGGATTGTCTACCAAGGTCTCCAGAGAGGTGGCTTGGAGGGCACCAGATGCTCCAACTTCTCAAGAAAGTCAGCGTTTAGCTGACAGTCAGTGCGCTGCACACGCTGGGAAACTTCAAAAGCGCATTGCCGAAAACCACACCAGTACCGCTCCATCGCAAGTTGCTGATTTTGGGGGGCAAAAGTGGCTTGGGGGGGCGTGGCCTCTGGACAGCGTTGCCTGTGGAGTAGGTGGACGGTCAGCTCCAGAATGTCGGCCTTATCCATTTTGGCCAAGGCCTCGTCATCCTAAAGATGTAAATGAAGTAGATCCGAAAATTATATATATTAAATCCTTTTGAAAATAAATAGAACTTACTTGATCTAGAAATGTATTATCGAATTAAAATTAAATTGCCTTGATAAAATTAAACAAGGTAAAAAATCAAACATTGATAATTTAAAAAAAAAATCAAATTTATATTTTTTAATAAAAACTTTATGGGATTTTTCATATAGAATTTTTTCTATTTGATTCATATCAATGTTTTTTTGTTTGTGGTTATATTTGGGTAGCAAATAATTGAGATCACGTTAGGGTAACCCCACTTACCATATGGGTCATCACCTTGAGCAGATTCCTCAGATCCTCCAGGCAACGGTTGATGCGTGCCCTTCGCTTCCTCTCCAGCAGTGGCTTCATCACCTTGCGATACAGGTGGGTGCGGGACATGGCGCCGCCCACCATCAGTCCATGGTTTTGCTGCTCCTTTGGGCTTGACATCTCAAGCCGGGCCCAGTACCTGCTTCGGGCCTCCAAATAGTAAGCCGGGTCTGCAACGACTGAATGGCACTGCGGAGTGGAGCAGCGCCAGCTTTGACATACCTTTTGAAATTGCGTTCAGGGTATATTGGTTTTCACGGAAATGTAAGCTTGTCATAAAGATATATAATACATTTTTCCACTCTTGTTGCGGAGTAAACATTCGTTTACAGGTAAATTTGTTTAGTTGATATAAGGTATTTGTATGTTTACAATTAGGTATTGACTGCTGTGAGGTATTTTCTAGTCTTTATATATTTTTGATTTATTTTTGCAATTACCATCTCCGATTTCTGAGAGTTTCTGCGACCAAAGCAGCGAAGCCAACTGAGCCTTCGTCTGCAAATGCGTGCTCTCCATTAAGATAAAAGTGCCGATGACAAAATATGTATGTCGGCGGGTTTTGTTTACTTATTTTGCCTATGGGTCTCGTATCGGAGCAGGGGAATACTTGGATAGGGGATACTTGGGTGGTCAAGCGAAGGGGGAAAGTAAGGAGAAGAGTGTCAATATCCGCTGTCCGAAAGGCCGTTACGCAATCATTCCCTTCTTTCAGCCACCAAATGCTACACCACATAATCCTAATTTGACAATGTGACGATCATGATCAGGCCATCTCCACACTTCAGAAAACTTATTTGAAAAGTTAAATTTCACATAAAAAAGGCAAAATGTTCATTTTAAAAGTGTTGGTCTTAGCAGCACAAGACAATTTGTATTCTGTCGGTGCTTTGACTTAGTTACAGTAAAAGAAGAAATAAGAGTCATTACCAAATCTATAAAAACTTAAAGAACACTAAAAAAGAAGGTTTTTGTGTCATGGAAAAATAATGGTCAAAAGTTGGAGTTTTATACATCGTTGTATTCGTCTTAAAATTTCCAATCGAATGACATTAACAGCTAAAATTTTTTCAGATTTTCAAATTTCTGCAAAAAAGTCAGAAATTTAGACATAAATAATTTTTTCAAAAACTGTTTAAAATAGCAACTCTTTTGACTTTGGGTCTTATTTTGGCAAAGTTACAACAAAAAGACTCTTCAGAAATAATTTGGTTTGGAAAATCGCCAAAAATCCCAAAAAACACATTAAAAACTTGGTTTTTGTGTCAAAACCCTGGGAAATAATGGTCAAAATGTGGAATGTCATACACCGTCGAGTTCGTAATAAAATTTCCAATCGAATGGCATTTACCGTTGAAATTTTTCCAGATTTTCAAATTTCTGCAAAAAATGATGATGTACCCCCTTACAAAAAAGTCAGAAATTTGGACATAAATAAATCTTTAAAAAATCGTTTTTCAAAATTCGGTTTTTGTGTCAAAACCAAATTAATTGTTTTCAATCGATCAGGGATGGATGGTATGGGTTGCCAGCTGTTCAAAATGGCAACTCTTTTGACTTTGGGTCTTCTTTTGGCAAAGTTACAACAAAAAGACTCTTCAGAAATAATTTGGTTTGGAAAATCGCCAAAAATCCCAAAAAACACATTAAAAACTTGGTTTTTGTGTCAAAACCCTGGGAAATAATGGTCAAAATGTGGAATGTCATACACCGTCGAGTTCGTAATAAAATTTCCAATCAAATGGCATTCTCAGCTAAAATTTTTCCAGATTTTCAAATTTCTGCAAAAAATGATGATGTACCCCCTTACAAAAAAGTCAGAAATTTGGACATAAATAAATTATTCAAAAAACGTTTTTCAGAATTCGGTTTTTTCGTCAAAGCTGAATTAATTATTTTCAATCAATCAGGGATGGATGGTGTGGGTTGCCAGCTGTTCAAAATAGCAACTCTTTTGTCTTTGGGTCTTATTTTGGCAAAGTTACAACAAAAAGACTCTTCAGAAATAATTTGGTTTGGAAAATCTCCAAAAACCCAAAAAAACACATTAAAAACTTGGTTTTTGTGTCAAAACCCTGGGAAATAATGGGTAAAATGTGGAATGTCATACACCGTTGAATTCGTAAGAAAATTTCCAATCGAATGGCATTCTCAGCTAAAATTTTTTCAGATTTTCAAATTTCTGCAAAAAATGATGATGTACACCCTTACAAAAAAGTCAGAAATTTAGACATAAATAATTTTTTCAAAAATAGTTTTTCAAAATTCGGTTTTTTTTTCAAAACTAAATTAATTGTTTTCAATCGATAAGGGATGGATCATATAGGTTGCCAGCTGTTTAAAATAGCAACTCTTTTGACTTTGGGTCTTATTTTGGCAAAGTTACAACAAAAAGACTCTTCAGAAATAATTTGGTTTGGAAAATCGCCAAAAATCCCAAAAAACACATTAAAAACTTGGTTTTTGTGTCAAAACCCTGGGAAACAATGGTCAAATGTTGGAATGTCATACACCGTCGAGTTCGTAATAAAATTTCCAATCGAATGACATTAACAGCTAAAATTTTTTCAGATTTTCAAATTTCTGCAAAAAATGATGATGTACCCCCTTACAAAAAAGTCAGAAATTTGGACATAAATAAATCTTTAAAAAATCGTTTTTCAAAATTCGGTTTTTGTGTCAAAACCAAATTAATTATTTTCAATCAATCAGGGATGGATGGTGTGGGTTGCCAGCTGTTCAAAATAGCAACTCTTTTGTCTTTGGGTCTTATTTTGGCAAAGTTACAACAAAAAGACTCTTCAGAAATATTTTGGTTTGGAAAATCTCCAAAAACCCAAAAAAACACATTAAAAACTTGGTTTTTGTGTCAAAACCCTGGGAAATAATGGGTAAAATGTGGAATGTCATACACCGTTGAATTCGTAAGAAAATTTCCAATCGAATGGCATTCTCAGCTAAAATTTTTTCAGATTTTCAAATTTCTGCAAAAAATGATGATGTACCCCCTTACAAAAAGTCAGAAATTTGGACATAAATAAATTTTTCAAAAAACGTTTTTCAGAAATCGGTTTTTTCGTCAAAGCTGAATTAATTGTTTTCAATCGATCAGGGATGGATGGTGTGGGTTGCCAGCTGTTCAAAATGGCTACTCTTTTGACTTTGGGTCTTATTTTGGCAAAGTTACAACAAAAAGACTCTTCAGAAATAATTTGGTTTGGAAAATCCCCAAAAACCCAAAAAAACACATTAAAAACTTGGTTTTTGTGTCAAAACCCTGGGAAATAATGGTCAAATGTTGGAATGTCATACACCGTCGAGTTCGTAATAAAATTTCCAATCGAATGACATTAACAGCTAAAATTTTTTCAGATTTTCAAATTTCTGCAAAAAATGATGATGTACCCCCTTACAAAAAAGTCAGAAATTTGGACATAAATAAATCTTTAAAAAATCGTTTTTCAAAATTCGGTTTTTGTGTCAAAACCAAATTAATTATTTTCAATCAATCAGGGATGGATGGTGTGGGTTGCCAGCTGTTCAAAATAGCAACTCTTTTTTCTTTGGGTCTTATTTTGGCAAAGTTACAACAAAAAGACTCTTCAGAAATAATTTGGTTTGGAAAATCTCCAAAAACCCAAAAAAACACATTAAAAACTTGGTTTTTGTGTCAAAACCCTGGGAAATAATGGGTAAAATGTGGAATGTCATACACCGTTGAATTCGTAAGAAAATTTCCAATCGAATGGCATTCTCAGCTAAAATTTTTTCAGATTTTCAAATTTCTGCAAAAAATGATGATGTACCCCCTTACAAAAAGTCAGAAATTTGGACATAAATAAATTTTTCAAAAAACGTTTTTCAGAAATCGGTTTTTTCGTCAAAGCTGAATTAATTGTTTTCAATCGATCAGGGATGGATGGTGTGGGTTGCCAGCTGTTCAAAATGGCTACTCTTTTGACTTTGGGTCTTATTTTGGCAAAGTTACAACAAAAAGACTCTTCAGAAATAATTTGGTTTGGAAAATCCCCAAAAACCCAAAAAAACACATTAAAAACTTGGTTTTTGTGTCAAAACCCTGGGAAATAATGGTCAAAGTGTGGAATGTCATACACCGTTGAATTCGTAATAAAATTTCCAATCGAATGGCATTCTCAGCTAAAATTTTTTCAGATTTTCAAATTTCTGCAAAAAATTATGATGTACCCCCTTACAAAAAGTCAGAAATTTGGACAGATTTCCATATTTTTGCAAAATATGATGATGGTCCCCCTTATCAAAAATGCAAAAACTTCTAAAACTGTATTGTTTTGCAAAGTTAGAAGGAAAAATCTGTTAAAAATTAAACAAAATCTAAATTTCTAAACAAATTTCTAGGTTTATTTTACGTCAAAATTAAAATGAAGTCTAATCATTTTTTAAGGGCTGCCTAAAATAAAAAATGTAGATAAAGTCTTTCAGAACTTCCATCTAGCCACGCTTTTTCAAAAAGATCAAATACTTTTTTCCGTGCATTTGACTATAATACAACTTCAGCTAAAGCTGTGAAGAAGCTCGTTCTGAGTGCTTCTGTTTATTTGGATTTTCTGCGGTGACTTCCGTGCCAGCTGAAGTGTCTCAGTTGCTGCCGATCGCCTTGTTTCTGTTTCTGTTTCTGTTTGTGTGTTTGTTTGTTTTCAGAATTTTCTGCAGTGGCCTGGGCTTTTCAAATGGCTTTTTGAGATTGCGACAAGCGCGGGTTTCCCACGCTCGATTCTCACTTACCATGCTTACCATAGTGCACGCGAGTGCGGCAAGCTGCTGAGGCAAGCTATTAAACGCCACACATGACAGTGGGGCACGGGGGGCGGTCCCATCAGAGGGGGCGTGACAGGGGAGGTGGAGGGGGACAACATATGTTGTGTGCCAGAGAACTTTGCTCCGATCCCCAGATCATCTCATAGTTGTCTGCCCTGCTCGTGCGCAAATTGTTATGTATTTCCATACCCTCAACAGAAAGCATATTGGCAATGCCTTGTTTAAGCCATTGTTACATTATTTAATTATTAAATTTTTTTGTATCTAAAGGTGTGAAGTAAATCTTGAATGAAGCCTTCTAAATTGTCATTAAATGGTTTTATTTCATTTACATGAGAATTTTCAATATACTTATTCGATATTTTTAATTATTTGGTAGTTTTCAAAACTGTTCTAGTGGCTGAGTTCTTTATAGGGGATCGAAGTTCTTGATTTGATCTCGCCTGATCTTTAAGAACCTGGAGATTACTTGTGATTTTCAACTCCACAAGTGGGCCAAGGCAGTGTAGATTGATCACGTCTTCACTCAACACACGCAGCTCATTAACAGCTCCGCTGACAACTTGTCAGGGCTTCCCCCTCGTGGGTCTTCCTGTGCACTATACCTACATCCCCACGAACTTTTCACTGGGAGCGTGGGAAATCACGGGTGATGGTGGGATGTTGGGATGGTGGGTTGGTGGGGCGGATGGAAATTTGGCGCGCTCTTCGGGGGGCCCCACCGGGTGACATTGACAAGTTTTCGCGCCCAACGACGCGTTGGCATCAGTGGGTCACAGGGATTACGGATTGTATTCCGGGTTTTTTGAGGCCAAGCTTTCGTAGAACTCCGATAGGCGAACAGCGGAAGTCCAGAAATAGACGCGTAGCACATAAATTATGGATCGTATCGTGTATCGATTAGCCCGGGACAAGCGAAGGGATAGGGAGACATATTTTTATTACCCTCTCAGGGACCTGCACTTGTTGGGTTCGCTTCGTTTCGTTTCGTTTCGTTTCCCTTGCACGAACAGTCGCCAGAAGATCCCTATATTATATATTCCCCCAATCGACCGATATTGTGGGAAATGTTTTCCCAGGCCAACAGCTAATTGTCACTCTAAGGGTTGCCCATACATACAGGCAGATAAGGAGCCAAGTGAAGCCAACCGATCGGAGTCAAGTGAAGGGCTTCCATTGCTTTCCCGAGTGGAGGATCGAAATTACATTTGTAACAGACGTTTTAGTACACAGTCCTTGGCTAATGGGGCTTACAAACATACATACCTACATATACCCATCTGAAATCCAAGAACAGACACACTTAAATGGAGAGGGTAAACGAAGCAGGGGCGGTCGCGCACGCGAAAATCTGACGCTCGAGAAGGGATCTTCAGGGGGGCACAGTGGGACGGATATGGTGAAAACAATTTAATTACCTAATTTAACACTTTTCTAACGCCAGAGAATATCTCTATGAATCGATTAAACTACCTGTAGAAACATTGTATTCGACAGCAAGGCAAAAAAGTTAAGTTCACCAAAAAAAATGAGTTTTTAATGCCAATTACGAACAACTACAAAAGTCTGACTCAAATCGGAAAAGTCGTTTTCAACTGAAATATTACTTTAAAGTTAGGTTTATAACCCATTAATACGCATTTGAAAATAAGGCAGTATTATTATAATATTTAAACTTTATATTGTTAAAATTGAGTAATGATTAGAAACGATAAAAAATTTAAACGTAATTCTGTACTTCAACTATTTAAGAGTATTTGTTTAATACGTATGCATAATTTGGCCCACTGTACGCTTATCACTGCGACAATCAAATATTTATATTCCCTAGCGGCGTATCTAATTCCACGGACAATGGACCGAAACGCCTATAAAGTTGCTCATTAAACATGTTTCAATTATGGTCCATCTCGTACCGATATAGATGGGGTTGCCGGCAATGATTTACATTATAAAATTGCCCGTTATCTATGTATCTCCCCCTTTTTCCCCGTCTCCAAATCCCCGCTATCGCTGTGTATTCCCCGAGATATTCCCAAGCGGCCAAAAATAGACACAAATTGTAACGCACTTGAAGTGCACTCTGGAACATCTTGAAGTCCAAATAAAAGAGGAGAAAGACCAACAATAATATATATACATATATAGGGCCAGGCGCAGGCACGCCAGGCATGCGATAGTACGAGTACGAGTACAAGTACCAGGGTGCGAGTGAGAGGGGTGTACAGTGCGAGGGAGAGGGAGTGAGTCGCATTGCACACACAACATGTGAATGCAGAGTTCAAGTGCATGCCGTGACACAGACACACACACGCACACACACACACACACGCTCAGATGTGTGTGCTGCAAAGTGTTTTTTCCCAGGCGCTATTTATAATATGTATATTTCGTTGCCGATCCGATCCAATCCCATCTTGCGGCACTACGATTATGACGCTGCCATCGCTGATGATCCATTTAGAGGAGTTTACGGAACTTGTAGTACCCTTTTTGAAAAGAATACCCGAAAGAAACTGGAAACTAACGGGGATAGAAAATAATCACTATTTGAGACCATAATTTTTAAAAGACAACTGAAATTGACAGATTTAAATACAAAAGATTTAAATTCTCAAAATCCGTTTTTTATTGAAATAAGTATTTTTTAACTTCTTTAAATAATTAACGCAATTGAAAGAATGGTATATAATCCAATAAAAAATATATTATTAATTGTTTATGTTAGAACTATATTTTTAATTTATTATTAGAATGGCCTTAAACTTAATAATTTTGTTCGAACATTTAGCTTCATAAATTGATGCATGTAGTTAATACTATGCGATTAAATGGCGTTGTTTGCAACCTACTATTATTTTGAGTTATTACAATCGAAATGCCTGTACCCCTGCTACCCTGTAAAAGCAAAAACAGGCGCCAAAACATGCGGTTTCTCGCAGCGGATTGCTGCGTAAAAATTCGGTTCGAGATTTGGGAATGGCTATGGATATGGCGGAGTAGACGGATCCGGAGAAGGAGATGGAGAAGGACCCAGAGAAATGGGATGAAAATGGAAATGACTGCGCGACGGCCACATGCGCCGATGTTGCTGTGTTGCTGGATTGCCGTCGCTGGATGTTGCATGTTGCAGTCGGTGCGGCGAAAGTGTTGCAGCTGTGTGAGAGAGTCTATTTTTGGGTGCTGCCACATGTGTTGCGCCGCTGCTAAAAGGCATTGTAATGAGAGCAGAAAATAGAACCGACTCCACTTGAGCAATGTCCCATAAAGCGGAGTTTCGAGTTTGGCGCGCAACCAGCAACCAGCAACCAGCAACAACCAGCAACACATGGGCCCACGAGTTATGTTTTATTTTTAATCATATTCGGAGAGTCGATCCCCAAACAAATCGGGTTGCGAGCAGCGATATAAGTACCGGGTACCCGGTCGCATTGGAACAGTCTTTGGCCGCCGCTCGACGCGCTCGAATCGGGAATTGGTGTATGAAAGTGTATTAGCAGGACCCACAGCAGAGCCACCAAACTAACCATCGATGGGCGTCATCTACAAGGTACTCAAGCAGCAACGCAGCATGGATCTCAGCCTGAGCTCGACCACCAGGTGCAAGGTGCAGGCGGCCATCAAGCAGCGCCAGCAGCAGCGTCGCCTGGAGGATCACCTGGGCCACCAGAATCACATGGATCAAGATCACGAGCAGGAGCAGGAGCAGGAGCAGCATCACATCGAGCAGGACAAGGAGGAGTTGGCCGAGCAGCAGTTGCAGCAGCTCTGTCGATTTCTGGCCGAGAATGCGGCGCGAAAGAAGGTGAGCAGCTCAGTTTCAACAGGAAACTTAAGCAAAGCCTCTTACTAAAAATTCACACCAAGGGAAATAAATAAGAAAAAATTAAACATTTTTCTTTCATTTTAAGTAATTTGCTTTTGATTTTTAAAGCCGTAAACAATCCACAGAATAACCTTCTTAACACAGAAATTATAATTCATTTATTGACCTTGAATATTTGTCTGTATTATAAAGTTATATGCTTTCTATTCTTGAAGCGATAAACAAACAACAGATTAATTTTATAATCACAAAACTTATAATTAAATCAAAAATGTTCTTGTTCAGTTAGTTCCTAATCTAGAGAATCAATAAAATAACTAAAGATTTAGTATTATCAAATAATTTAGTAATAATAAATAATCATATGACCGTTACATGGCTTTAAGTCATTGTGTAGGTCATGTTTTCCTATATGCCATACGCTCAACTTTAAGGCCATGTTTTGTCTATTGTTTCCAATATTTAGGAAATTTTCCTAAAGTATTAAAATCACTTGAGAGTTAAAAGACCATATCCTTATTTTTGTCCAATAATTTGTAGAGTATTATATTATTATATCATATTATATCATAGGTTTTTAATTATGTGCTATATTTGGGAAATCTTTGAAATTAATAACGAGTTTTATTGTTAAATAACTTTCAGATTAAAGTTGCTTAAAGAATAGTCGTAAAACTAACTCTTTAATAGGTTTTTAAGTATTTACTAAATTTAGGTCGATTTTAATTTAAATGAAAATATTCTCAATTGCTAATTTGGCTATACCGATTGTTTTTCTCCCTCAGCGTCAACGTTTTAAGCTGCAGTATCAGTGCAACCTGGCTGCAGATCAGGATCCCGATCAGGAGCAACTGCAGCCGTCTTCGCATGAGATGGACCTGGAGTTCATGGAGCAGCTTCATCAGTCCTCGCCCGCATCCACAGCCACAGCCACATCCACATCCACATCCACTTTGGGCAGTGCAGCTGGGCAGTCGGCTCCTCGTGATAGCATCCTGCTGAAGATTCGCCACCAGATCTTCGAGAGAAAGCGGCAGAGGCAGCGCCAGTTGGCGGAGCTGGTCCAGCAGCGTCTGGTGGTGTGGCGACCTTGGTAGTGGGATCTCCAGTATTACTCCCCCAGAAGGAGAGACAGAGAGAGAGAGAGAGAGAGAGAGAGAGAGAGATCCGGGAACTGAGACTAGTCTAAGGATAAGGATAGTTATAAGGATGCTTTCGGTATTATTCCTGCTGCTGTGTGATGATCGCGCTGCTCTTCCATTTTCCCACGCCTCTACAAACAAACCTTCTTTTTTTTTTATTTGCTGTTAATTATAGTTTTACTAATAAAGATTTTTTTGGACATAATACTTGGCCGTTCCATTTCTCCAATGAAAGTCCGCTACTGCTTTTCTTGAGCGCTTTTTATTATTCATTGAACTTTGACACCAATTTAAATTTGTTTATTCGTAACGAATATTTGTTTGCTGTTTATGGTAAGTTATGCATTGTATTGTATGCTTTATTCGTTTTAACTCCATCTGCCTTCGTTCACGCTGCTCTGAATCTATTTCTGGATACTCTTGATTTGCCTTCGAGCTGCCTGTTCTGATTTCCGGGTTTCTGGTGTCCTAAATGCCTCAACATGCCTGACTGTTCACTTTCTGTTCACTTTCTTCAATTCGTTCATCTACGTTCCTAAATATTAATTTTTCTCTTGGCTTTGAGCTGAGCTCTGGAAAACGAAAACAAAACGATCTAAGTTCATTCAATGCGATAATTCACCTTTGAGTGGCTGCTAAATGCAGGGATATTCTTCGTCATCTTGGCGAGTATGCTAGCTAATTTTGTAGCGGATATTGTTTAAACCCTAAAAATTCCTTTGAATAAGTTTGAAAAATAAATATTCTAATTGTAATTTTTCCTTCAACATTTTTGTAAAATTTTTCTAGTCAACAATTTCAATACATTTTTGCAAGAATTTTGTGTGATATTTCAATGCAATAGTTATATAAGAAAATACGTTTAAGATTTTACATACTTTTTTAGTAACATTGCCTGGTTATTAATAGTAGCCTGACCATTTTTTAGCAAATTGTTCTATTAAAAACTAATCGCTTTACAAATTTATAGATTAAACGATTTTAAAAAGTAAAATAACAGGAAATTCATAAAGAGAAGTTCTTTTAAAGAGATTTTTGTTTGATACTGCAACGGAGTAGATTTAAAATTATTAAAATCCCTAAGCCCGAAGCCTTTACCCTTCATTGAATTAAATATTTAACTGTAACTTAAATATTTTTAGAACATTCTTCTAAGAAGTAACATAATAGGGAACTTTTGAGTAGCTTATTGAGAAAATCTTAATCTTTTTCATATATCATATCGTTGTGTTTAAACTAAATAGCTTCATTTAAAAATAGGGTAGACTTTAGGAATCACTCGGCATTGGTACGCATTTTCCCATAATATATTGTGCTATTTAATTATATGTTAACAATTTTTTTGGCATATTTTTCTAAGAAGGTAACATAATGGGAAATTTGTATGCAGAAATTTAAGAATCGCATTTATTTCGAGGAGGATCTGAACAACAACACATCGTTTCGATATGACTTAGAGTTTGTCCCGCACTTTCGTCGCCAAAGTTATTTGTTTTGGTTGCCTTAAAACTCCTCTCGAATTTCGAAAAGTTTCACCTACTCTTTTGCCGTTACGCATACCGCCTCGAATCGGATATCGTTTGTGTTAGATATACATTTGAATATTTTTGTAAACTTAATGCAATGCAAGCCTTGGGCTGCGCGGCACCTACTACGCTGGGTAAATAGACATCACTGAACAGTTCCGGTTGCTTTGCTTTGTTTAGATATTAGGTACGCACATTTAGTTAAGTTAGCTACGCGTGCTGCAAGGGGCGGGACCAGGGGGCGTGGCCAGAGGGCGAAAGGGGGCGGGGTCAGGACATCCCCTTCAGACTGACAACCAAGGGCGGGGGCATCTCAAGTCACTTCGATTACTGCGTTTACTCTAGATACCTAGATAACTTAGAACTCGAATTATAACTAGAATTAAAAGTAGAACTATAAGTAGTGCGACTACAATTAATTAACTTAACAATTCAATCTCAATTCACGTAACAATACAGTTTCAATACATTTTCGTCAGACGAAAGGGCTCAGCAGGATCTTGATCATGATCATGATCATGATCATAATCTGGATCTGGGGCCGGGTTTGGAATCGGGGTTCCTCTTGCGCGCACTTAAATGCTATAATCAATAGATACATATATGCATATATAAATATATTCGCTTAAAGTTACGCGTGTATACATAAATACGTCGTTTACATAAATATCATTCACATATAGATTTATGCAAGTGTATATAGAAGTATTGTATGTCTGTTTAACATCATTATAATCTCTCTCATTGTGTTTCCGTCCCACCTGTCTTTCTAAATGTCAGTTTTAATGTCAATCTTAATGTCTGTCTTTAAGTAATTCATTCTAAAACGTATATACATTTTCCATTAACTTTTTATTATTACAGCATTTATTTAATTTTTTTCAGTTTGTAGAGCACACTTTATTAAATCAAAAAAGAAACTAAATGTAAACTTAATTTTTTTGTTAAAAGTTTTGACAATATTTTTATATATAAGCCAACAAAATTTAGAGTTATAAATTAATAGCCTTAGATTTGGCTTCTGTCAAAGGCAATATGTTTAAAAATTATCTTAGAAATGCTACATAAATACGGTTATAGCTTGGTAAAATAAAGAAGGAACATGTATATACGTTTCAAATGTGTCTGTTGCTGTTCTGTTTCTGTTTGTGAAATGTATCTACAACTAGAGTATACGAGCTCATTCGTTATCATATGGCAAGCAATTCATTTACGATATTATCAAATCTGCATCTGTTTGTGAGATAAGCAATCTTGACCTTTGGCGACATAACTCATTAGCTGTACTTTTTGGATCCCCACCGATGGACATGCTGCACTCAACGTTCAGTTTTTCTGCCTATCGTTATCGCTCTTCATTTTTTGTCAGCCAATTGATGGATTTGCGATTAAATTTTTATTTGTACCTAATCCTAGTTCTACAAAAAAAAAAATTCCGCATATTTATATATATGCTTAAGGAACACACACATACACAGACACTTATATACGCAATGCGTGGCGCTGGTTATCATTTATCGTTTATCATTTATCATGTATCGCTTATCGCTTATCTTATATCGATTATCGTAAATCGTAAATCGTAAAACGCTTATCGTTATCTGAACACTTTGAATGCAGCGGGATCTGGTGTTGATGGAATGGGACCCTCACACCTCGGCGACCTGGGGGGAAATGTTGGATGGGTTACTCTGGGCTGGGTTTCGGAGTTCGGAGGTCGGAGGTCGGAGAGCGGAGTTCAAAGGTCAGATCTCGAGTAGCGGATGGGTGGAGGTGGTGGTGGTGGTGGCGGTGGCGGTGGTGGTTGAGGTCGGGGTTGAGTAGGTACGTAGTCGCTGGCTAAATGCTACTCGATCGTCCCAGGCCCGAGGTGGTGGTTATGTGGTGCTTGTGCTTGTGCTTGTGCCGGCCCTTCTCCACCTTAGTGAAGCACGCCATTGGCAAGCCGGTTGGGCCGGTCCCGGTCCTCGGGTTCTGCGGGGGTGAGAGTCAGCGCCGGTATAGCCGGATGTAAATTAGAAACGTGACCGGATGCGGTTCCAGTTGCGGCTACAGCTACGGCTACGGTCCCGGCAGTGGCCGGTGGACTGGCACTCACCTCGTGCTCGCCCTGGTGGCAGAACTTGCCCTTCAGCCATGGCCACTTGATGGTCCGCACCAGGGTGTTGCGGAAGTCCTCGCTGAACAGGCAGTAGATGTAGAAGGTCAGCGAGTAGTTGATCAGCTCCAGCAGGTTGGCACTGGCCCGGAACACCTGGAAGGGGAAGCTCGGGTACACCTCCGAGGCGATCGTCATGTGCAGGATGGCCATCGGCGAGACGCAGACGAGGAACAGAATGGATGTGCTGCCGAGCAGCAGGAACAGGCGCCGCTCCTCCGCGAACTTGCGCGGATCGTCGTCCTTCAAGTAGCCATGCCCCCCGTGGGCGTGGCCATGCCCTTGGGCACCATGCCCATGTCCATGTCCATGCCCATGACCATGCCCATGACCATGTGGACGACTGAGGACCATCTGCCTGCGACGCTCGCAGGTCCGGCGATAGACCATCATGATGCGCATGTTGAGGCCACCAATTACCAGCGTGGGCACCAGCTTGAAGATCACCTCCAGCATTATCTTGTAGACGCGATAGAAGATGGTCTGCTGGTAGATCGTGTTGTCGCGCCGCAAGTACACGAAAACATCGCTGGAGCCGAAAATACATTTGATCAGTTCGCCACGAAAGATGCTCGGTAGGTAGACGATCACCGTGGCCAAGCAAGTGAGGAATACCACGACTCTGTATGGGTTTATCAGTATGAAAGTATAGTGTTATTTGGTTGATCCCTTACGGCATCGAATCAGCTTACCCTGGTGGTCCCATCACTGGTCGAGCGAATCCGGGATGGCACACGGAAACGTAACGCTCGATGGTCAGTACTAGTAACATCATTACGCCAACGCCTTGGGTGGGCCCAAAAAAAGGGGTTAATATTTCATTTAAGTTAGCAATAATATCATAAGTTGAAAAGCAGGAAATCAAAATTTCTTATTGCAAATTTTATAAAAATATTGAATACATTGCATGATTAAATGTAAAATTTTTAATTGTTTTTTAATAAAGTTTATTATGGCTTAAGCCTAAATTAAATTTTTCAGATACTAAAATCTATTCCGAGTATAGTCAAATAAAATATTTCAGATACTTAAAAATATTTCGAAGATTGTAGTATTAAATATTAAAAAGCAAATGTCTTACTCCCATACTCCCATAAAAAACACAATCGATGAAAATCAAAGCAAAAACCATTTAAACTGTGTACGAAATACTTTGATTAACAAAGTTTATTATAATTTTTTCATTTTACACTAGCAATGCTTAAGAAATTAAAAAAGGGACCAGAAACTAAATAATAAATAATAATAATAAATAATAAATGTTGAGTAATTTGACCAGCTTATGTTCTTTAAACGGTGCAACGAGAGCTTTAACTTTCAAAAGCTCTCCCTGTGGCAATTCCAAAACGAAAACCAAAACCAAAACTAAAACCAAAACCATCCGAGACTCACCCAAACAGCCGTTGCCCAAATAAAGCTCCAAGTGGGCGGTGTAGAAGGCGGGCCCGAACTCCTCCCACTGGCCCCGATCCTTGTGCACCAGCATGCGGATGCCGAAGGGGATGGCGAATACAATGGCCAACAGGGCGGCGGTGGAGTAAGCTGAAAGATGCGAAAAGGATGGGAAAGGACACGCATGGGGGGTACGCAGGACAACAAAGGGATTAACTCGGGCAAATCTATAAAAATGTCCTTTATGGTTGGGTTTATGGCATAATTATGGCGCCGTTTCCTTCCATGTGGCAACAGGAAGTGCTGCCACACACACACACACACACAACAAACACACACACACACGGAGACACTCGAGTCGCGGGCCAAATGAATGGCTTTCCTTTCCGGTTCCCTTTTCTTAACTTCCTCTGCGCTGCCTTCTCTTCTCTTCTTTTTTTTTACGTTTTAATACCCTTGCAGAGGATATTATAACTTCAGTGAAAATATTATATTCAGCGAGTATATTATATAGCTCCTATTGAAACAATCGTTAATATTCAAATAAAAACAAATTTAAAAAAATGATAACTTTGCTGTTTTAACATTTTTCTTGTAATTCTTTGAGATATTGTAGGGGTTATTGCAAGAGTATACAAACTTCGGCTTGCCGAAGCTGGCTTCCTTTCTTGTTTTTTTTGCTAACTTTTGATTGTGTGCACGTGCGTGTGTGTGTTGTTTATTGATTTATTATTTTGTTTATGACCATATAATTACGTTATTACTAATATCATGTGCGTCCTGCTGCCACTTCCCGCCAAATTGCTGTGCACACACAGAGCTTAATGTTCGATATATGACTGCCCCGAAAAAGAGGAGGCCCTCATAATGATGGGCATCTAATTGGGTACAGGGACACATCAATATAAATGTCAGTGTTGTTTGCGCCAAGCCTGACAAGTGTCCTGCCATCAGCAGCCTACTCATCCCTTGCAAACACAAATCTCCAGTGTTTGGCTTGTCGCCACTGGAATTTCTCAACGGATTGTGATGGAGTGCTTTAAGCGAGATCTTTAGTTAAGTTTGTTTAAACAGCAACGATCCCCAGCCACTTTGGCATTCCCCAGTTGGCCATAAAACATTTTTAGCCCCTTCCGCAATGGCATAACTTGGTCAACACACACGAGACACCGTGGCCGAGAGTAGAGTAGAGTAGAGTAGAAAGGACACCAGCCAACCAGTTGGTGGCAATGACCGCCAAATAACAAATGGAATTGGGAATGGGAATGGGAATGGGAGGCCAGTCGGTTGGCATCGTAAAAAGGCTGCGAGCAGCAAAATATTTTTGTTATTTTAATAAAATGAGCAGCGTAGGATGGTGCTCTGATTTCGGTCATTATTACTCATGCCGCCGCTGCTCCTCACAACTTTTATTTAGTGCCACTTGGGCAGAGCCTCGCAGGCTGCTGATATTTCAGTCAGTCAGCAGCCAAAGGGTCTCGCTTTGCATTTCTCGTATTTTCTAGTCCTTCTCTGGGTTCTAGTCCTTTATTTTTTTCGCCCTCAGTTCTCCAGCTCCGTTTCGGCTGAGGCAGTCGAAAGGGCAATCAATTATGCTGCCATAGCATGCGTATTACATTTGAAGCATTTTACATTTTATTTTCGCATTTTCCAGTCGAGCCCTATACTCTTTTATGGGGGTACTAAAATCCCAGCCAGATCGGCCACACACTTTTGGCCCATGGCAGGTCATAAAGTCGAGGAGTTATCGCCCGGTAATTGTATAGGAGTAACCCCGAAAGCCGTGTCTAAAGCAAAAGTTTTGATGCACATCAGCATATCATAACTTGGTGCTCATTTACCCCAGGGTATACTTCGCTTCGGCTTGTGCAAAGCTCATTTTCATTCCGCTTGACAAGTAAAGTGAGTTGCCCGTTTCTGTTTTCCTTGTTCAGGGCGTTTTCCTTGTGAGTGATAGTCGAGGCTAAAAAATTACCAGCAAGTGGCGGTACGTTGACAAAGTTGCCTTTCCATTGCCTTTGCCTTTGCCTTTCCTTTCCATTCCTTTCCTTTTCATTTTTTCGCCCAAAAAGAGTGGAGCTCATTAATCAATTAAAGCGCCATAAAGCAAACGAGTGTCTAATAGAGTTGACATGCTGTCTAATACAGCATAAAGTTGGAAGGGGGCTTAGTGGCCTTGCCACCGCATAAATTTGCACGGGGTTAACCGGTCCCATCTAATGAAATAACTTTCAATGAAGCTGCACACGCAAACGACATACACAACACAACACGACACAAGACAACATAACACGACACAACACAGCATAACACGACAACATGGCAGTATGCATACATTAGCCGCATTGTGGCAGCTACAATTTTGGCAGAAATCGTCGAGGTTAATGAATAAATTCTGGGGCACAATGGCCGGGCGTTGGGGAATACATATGTTCTAAAGCGAAACTCAATTTGGCAATCAGTCAAGAGTTCCATCCCCCCTGGAGTGCCAATAAAGCTGGGCAAATTCAGCGTTTGCGTGGGCGAAGATGAACGAGTGTGTCTCTGGGCCAGAAATCCAATATGGGTTATCACAAATCATACTCCGAATGGGAAATGTAGCGAAAAGGGAAACACCTCCTAATCAAATGAAAAGAGAGACGTAAATTTATTAGGCTCTACAGTGATGGAACTCAGAAGAACAAGTCTGGAATTGGGATTATGCTGCATTTTTGGGCAAGTACTACACAAATTGGAACTGCAACTGTTCATATTTCATTGAAATTTCCATCCCATTGTGATGGCTAGAGATTCTTTAATCACTGCATCAGAGGACAATAAACTTCCACATTGCCTTTGAGCCAATTAAAACGGAAAATGGATACTGCTCTTGGGCCAACAATAACAGTTCATAATCAAGTGAGGAGAAAACGCACACATTCTGTGTCAAAGTGTGAAATAGATACTGTTCACTTCTAATACAAGGTGCCACCTTTTGTGTTGTTGTTTGATATTGATCAGAAAATAATACAACTGCTGCATTTGCATTTAAATTCATATTTATGTGAGCTTAAATTCAAAATCGATAGTGCTTACATTTAATGGAAATTACCCGTTATGGTGAATTTGAAGTTGCAGAATCTAATGAAAATAAGACAAATGCAGTATTCACTGCCGTGGAACAATAAGTCTATGCTGGTTTTTGGCAAGTAAGGAATTTAGCATTTCGTAAATTAATCGAAATAGACTTGAATAGTTTGTGTGTGACAAGAAAACTAGCATTCAAATTGATAGAAACTAAGAAATGCTTTGAATTACTGTAAGTCTGAATTTGAAATGTATGCTGCTCCCACTTGATGGACTGTAAAGTTGATTGCTATCAAAATTTAATTCATTTCAATTGACAAGACGAATCAGCGTCTAATCAAATGCAGATAAATTCTTTACCAAGTGCAGTGGAATAATAGGCATTTGCTGTTTTTGGCAACAAAGGAATTTACACAGCTCCTTAATTAATAGAAACTAATTAATGCAAGTTTGGCTTTGAAATGAATACTGTTTAAACATGATGGAAATTACAGTTTATTGCAAGCTAAATTTCATGTATTTTAATTGACAAGGCAGAGAAATTCTATGACAACTGCAGTGCAACAATAGGCAACAAGGAATTTCACTTTCAATTCACACTTTCCCATTTGATGCATAACATTTTGTGTATTTGCGGACACAAAGCAGAGAAGTAAGTTCAGTAATCACTGTAATGAGAGGACACCCAGCAAATGCAGAATTTCTTGTCCAGGAATGCATGAAAGGAATGAAATCGGAAATGGATACTGTTCAATTTGGATGCCAGACTCGAGTACATTTTGCATGCCTCTGGTTTTCGACACACCTCAATATAGGCTTGGAAATTCGCAAAGCTTGGAAATTCGCCTCAAAGTAGCAAATAGTTGAGTTTTGGTTTGCCTGTGGTTGCAATTTAATAGGAATTTCGATCGCCCTACCAAAATGGATCATGCATTGCGGTTGGTTCCTTGGCTCAAGGAATTTCCCGTTGCCATTAGAATTTATTGCTGTGTGTGTGTGGTTGTGCGGGTGGGTGTGTAGGTGTGGGTGTGTGGGTGTGAGGTTACTTACCCCTCATGTAAATGTAGGCGGTGCCACGCATGTTGCGCCTGGTGAGCACAATCAGGTTGAGTACATTGCCTATGATGCCCATGGCGCAGATGATGGGCAGCACCAGGCCGTAGCAGTATTCCCTCAGCGATTCCGTCCGCGGATCCTCCACATCCTGCAAAAATAGAAAAAATAGAAAAAAAAACGAAGAAAAAGGATAGTAAACAAGTCGGTGGCGGGTGTAAATGGGAACAGCTCGTAAATCATCTCTTTGTGGCTGCGCCTCTTTTGTTGGCCTTTGGATGGGCTGCCGCAGATAAAAATTCAATAGTCAACTTGACACTTTTATTTTGTGACTTTTTATGCTCCTACGCTGGCATGTGTGTGCGCCACCACTTTGGTGCCACTTTCACTTTCACTTTCACTTCAACTGCCACTGCCACTGCCACTGGCACAGCCACCCTTTGCCGCCCTTTGTTTTCTATTTTTGCATTCTGCGGGGCTCGCCTTGAGCCAAAGTTGCAAACAAAGCAGCTTTTGGTTGTCTGTCAGCCAGCTAGGGCAACTTTTTGTCCTCTTTGTACCCTTTATAAGTAGATTTAAGGGTATGTTACGTTTGTAACCTGAAGGCCAAACACCATATACTTGGCTTGTTAATTACTTATGAACCTTAAAGATTTAACAATAAAATGTAGGTCTCCTTAAAGAAAATTCTCTGTATTTAAACTGTAACTTATTGACAATAAAACTAGTACAATTTTACTATTAAGATTTTATAACCATTTGATGGCTTTGTTTTAATTCCATTCTAATGATCCTCAATGACTAAATAATGAAATTTTGATCTTTCTCAAATTTCCCTGTATTTATACTTTTTATTTTCAAAAAAACTTATAAAGCTGTCTCATAGTATGCAATTATATATTTTGATTGCAAAAGTGCGATGTCTTTTCATTTCATATAGACACCTATAATTTCATACACACGATCTGCCATCGAGTTTCAAATGAAAATTTAAAATTATAAATTTATTTATTAATTAACTTTTTCACATTTGAGTCAAAGCATACCAAATGTTGTAATCATTATTTTACGTTTCGTAGCCATTAATTGCAACCTGCTCAAGCTGCCGCATGGGTAGCAGTAATCTTGTTTATTGTTTAAATATATACAATTTTAATAACAAAAAAGAGTTTACCATTACGCCACCAGCCTTTGATTTTCGTAACATTGAGTGTATAAACTGTTAATGGCAAAGTCAAAATATATTGTTTTAAACTCTGGTTTGGTTTGGTTTGCTTGCGACCAGGGGGTTAACTCGACTTTAAAGAGTTAAGTAAGCCTGGCGAAAACGGAGGCCATGCAACTAGACCTGCTGTGCCCTGAAATGAGCAATTCCCCACAGCTCTCGTTCGCTGGCGATGTTTGGCTTGCAAAACATTTGAGGGAAGCATTTCCCGCGGCGCCCGAAAGTAGGCAACAGTTTTTCTGCGCAGCAGGCATCCTGCGAAGGCTACGCAGGACATGGCCAGCTAACTGGCCCAAGGTGTTGGACGGAGGAGGGCGGATGAGGGAGGAGGAGGGCGGACAACCCACAACCCACAGCCCACTATTCAATGGCCAAACCGTAAACGCACTTACCCGATAGAAGTCGTCCCGCATGTCGCTGCTAAAGGCGGACGTGGCATTGGCCAGGACATCGGCGCTGCTGGTGAGATTGGAGCCCCAGATGAACGAGCAGTAGGCGGGATCCTCTTCGGTGTTGTAGAGCCTCGTTATCATAGTTCCTCCGCTGTTGCCTCCGCTGCTGCGAATCGAGTTTAATTTGTGTAAGTAAGGCGTCGGCCTCCTAAGAAATTGTGTGTGAAAATAGTCGGGAGTCGGAAGTTGGGAGTTGGGAGTCGGGAAACGGGAATGAATGGCATTCCCTACGCCTGCCAAGTAATTTAAATAGGGGGAGAGAATGTTGCTAGGGAGGGTGGCAGGTTCAAACCGACCCGACTGTGACGCGTCTAGCGGAAACGGAAGCATTCACTTGTACACAGTGCGATAGAAACAAAGCGCCAAAGCAAAAGCAAAAGCAAAAGTAACACACAAACAATATGGAGGGGGGCCAAACTGGCGTAACAATTGGGACTTTGATTGCCGACGCACAGCGCAGCACAAACAAATCAACGAAAAATTGAAAAGCAACTGCCAGAGAGACGTAAAAATAAAATGCTGGAAATAATTGCGGCCCGTAAATAAGTTGGCCCGATGAATGCGAGAATAAAAGCCAGAGGTCCTATTCTGCCCAGACAAGTAAGGCAAGAATAGAGAAAATAAATAAAATAGAAAAAATAAATACCTGGTCGGATACGGGGTGCTGCTAGTGGCTCCACTTAGCCTGTTTAGTGCTCGGAGTGCAGCCAGCGTACTTCGGCATTGGGTTCATAGAATCGTTGCCGGTGACAAGCCCGGGCAGAATTGGTTGCGATCCTGGCCATCCCAGCATCCTGCTGCTGCTGCATCATCCCGAGGAACCTGCCAAACATGGAGCAACAAAACAAAATGCTGTTACTGGGCTGTCACTCGAACTTGTGTGTGGCCGTCATGTGCGTGTTTTATTATGCGACAGGACACTCGGTCGAGTGCTAGTACATGTGTGCATGTATCGCGCACATTATTGACGTGTCGGCTGCGGCAACAGGTGTGTTTTATTTGCCACTCTGCCGCTCTGCCACTCTGCCACTCTGCCACGCTGCCACTTTGCCACTCCCACATAACGCGCACCGGCTAAGCGCTAAAATCAACGTTGACAGGCAGCAGAAATTCGTATAAAATATTTGATAAATTGCCCCCGAGACAGGCGGGCATGGAAAAGCGTGGAAAACAAGCAGGAATGGAATGCTTGCGGGGGGGTGGAAAAAGCTTAAAGGGCAAACAGAGGGGTGGCCATTAATGGCTTTGTGGTGTGACAAACGGTATGGCAAAAAGCATAGCTTGCAGCCCCAAAAGTATGCAGCACATTTTCGCGTTGGCCCTGCCATTTGCATATCACGCATACGCACTGTAGCCGAACAACACCTTTGCTTCTCAGCTTTGTTGCGGCGACACAAAACATGACACAAACTTAATTTCCCCAAGGCGCAACATGAAAGCCAAGAGCGACTAGGGACCGGCGTGCGGTTGCCGCCGAGAGTGCTCACTGTACGACAAAAGGACACCTGCATTGAGTTCGGAAATGTAGCAGGGAGGGAGGCGAAGTTGGAGTCTGTATACGTGTGTCTCTTCTCACAATCCGAGTCGGATTCAGGCATAATTTATGCCTGTGATTATCATAATATTTCGCCAGACCAGTCCGACACACACGACTGCCTCGTGGGCTGGTGGTTTAGGGTGGTTCAGGGTGGTTCAGGGTGGTTCAAGGTGGTGCAGGGTGGACCCGGGTGTCGACTGTCAACTGTCGCTTGTTAGTTTTTGGTTTCCAGCTCTTCACCGCTGCTGTTTGCCGAGCACTTACAGTTATTGCGGTTTAGTTTGCTTGGCGAATAAATAGAAGCCCGGATCAGGTCCATCCACCACCCAAAACCCCCCCTTGATTTCAGCCCCGGATTTGTTTTACATTTTACGTTTCCTTTTTTTGTAGTTTCTGTTCTTGGCTTTCCCATTTTATTCGGTTAACAAACAGCAGTTTGTCATTTAAACAAACATGGGGGTAGGACGAGACAATGCCATGTGAGAGTGACTTGGCCTGTTTATCTTCCCACCGAAACGAAACGAAACGAAACGCAACGCAACGCTGGGAAGGAAGGAAAATGGAAAAAGCAAAGTCAAAGCCAAACCGAAGCGTAGCTTAATGGACCTGCTAGGGTTTTTCCCGCTTTCCTTTTTTTTTTTTTTTTTTTTGGTTTTTTTTGTTGCCTTTTCCACAGCGATCCATCTATCTCTATCCCTGTCTGCTGGCGCATGTGTGCTGGCATGATTAATGCCTTTGTTTACATTTCCCGCTTCACGTTCGGCTATTTTCTTTTGGGGCCTGCCCCCCAAATTTCCCACCAAATATTGCGGCCGGGGCCTGGCTGGCGAATGATATGTTTAACAAAAAAGTTTAACGCAAATTAAGTCAAACTGGCAGCGCTTAACGATGTGCGACATAGATGAATATCCTTGCATGTGTGTGTGTGACTCGACATATGTTTGCATGTGTGTGTGTGTGTGTGTGTGTGTGTGTGTGTGTGTGTGTGTGTGAGTGGACAGTTTTCGTATTTTCTGGGCGGATCTGGACTGTTCGGGCTTTAATTTACACACAAAATGATGTGGCCCTAGTGACAAGCTCGCAGGACAAGCCCTGACAGCCAGGATACGCACACACCACACACCACACACACACACACACTCACACACTCTCATATCCACTTCCGGACGGACAGCAAATTAAGTTTTTCCAGCAACATATATAAGCAAACTGTAAAAGGAAATCAACTCAAGACAAAGTTTAAGTAGATTCCCAGAATCCTGGAGAAAGCAAAAAGTCAAGGACAGTGGGTTTCAATGGGGGAAATAAGTTCATGTGTGTTAAGCACAGAAAAAAAATCAGACTAGCCAAATAAAAATAAACAAAATTTTTATTTCTAATTTATTTTGATAATGCTTTTTAAAATAATGGTGTTAAGATTTAATTTAATATTAATACTTTTGTTTTGTTGATATTCTATACAGCCCTGAACACGGATCCCCACGAGATTTTAAATGTATTGGAAAAAAAAATGCTTCAAGACACAGCAAAATAGGGGCACTATAAGGACAAAGACCTTGAGCCTTGGGATTGGTCACCAAAATTTACAAATATTCAATTTAGCTTAGCTTTGCTCATATATTTCTTTCCGTGTCTAAAAATTGCTATGCCGCCCATCACTCATTGTTATTAATTATCAATTTAAAATCAGAATTTACTCACTTCGATTATTTTGGTCTATTTTGGCACCATTGTACGTCTGCCCCTGAAGAAATGCCCAAAGTGGTGGTGCTGCTGCTGCCTAATCACCGTCCATGCCCCTCATAAAATGTACACGATAAACTTGTTCCATCTGTTGGCCAAAGTCGTTGAGCGTTGACAGTCTGCCATGTGTGTCCTTTCTGACCATTAAGTTTTTAATTTCCCTGGCAGGACATGGCCGCTCCTGCTGTTGCTGTTGCTTTTGCTTGTGCTTTTGCTGCTTCTGTTTGCCGACCACCTTTTGGCGAGTGGCATTTTTTCGGCTTTGTTTGCTTTTAATTACGCAATCATTTTATTTAATTTTTTCCGCCCTCCAATTAAGCTTTTAATTAAAACCCCAAGGCAACCGAAATTTCGCACGCTTACTGCTTGTGAATTTTTTTTTTTTTTTGGTGGCTCACTAAACGAGTTTTTAATCGAAAACTTATCGCTAAGAGTGGCGCCTGCGCTGCCCGATTAATTTTCAATTTAAATTTACATTTGTATGCAGAGCAGCAGCAACACCAGCAACTTTGGCCATAAATTGGCATGACCGGTTGACGTTGTCGCCTGGCAGTTATCGAAATTGCTTAACGGCGATGGCCATTCCGTCGGGATTGCCACCCACTATCCACCACCCACCACCCATCACCCATCACCCACAGCGAGATAAACATGCAAAGTGTGTGTCCTTAGTGTCCTTTCGCAGGTCACCAGGATGCGTGTCCACGGAGAGAAACTAAATAATTTAAAAAAGGTGAAACAAAAAAAAATAGCATCAAATTAATAAAACTGGCATCAAACTGAAAAAAAAAACAAAATTACTTGCATGACTTTCGTATTAAACAAAAATTAATTAAACAGCTAGTTTTACTTCTATTTCTGTAATTTTTTTCTGTAATTCGTCAGTGACTGGAATAAGTATCAAGTATACTTTAAAAATCCACATCGACATCAATCAATCTAATTGGAATTAAGCATTGATCAACCTTCTGTGGCAAGTTTGTAAATAAAAGTAGCTGCCGTCACACAAATGCCAAAATGCTTTTCAAACAAAACAAAATAGGATTGCGAACATATTATTATTCATCAAAGCTTAAATCGCATTACCTAAATAAATGTCTATATCAATTATCATCAATGCTTGTAACTTTTGCCTGTATATTTATTTAAAAAAAGATACAGTTTTCTGGTTGTTTCTCAAAAGACAACATGGCAGCACTGGTGCGTATACGCAATATTTAGATTTTGCAGGGATATCTTTACTGGTGAAGTAAGCTCGAAAATTAAGGGTTTTTAAAATTATATGGCCAAGTTAATGAATATATTATATCTATACATTATTTATTATCTCTTTTATATTTGTTTACTTTAATCCGAATATAAGTGAGTCAGAATAGGACATTAAGGTGGTCGCTTTCGATAGCAGTCTTAATAGTTTTTCAATAAGTGCCCCAAATCGCGGATCCTTTTTTAACGTGTCTCTTTGGCGGTGCCACAGTCCATATTTCGCTGGGTGGTGGGTGGTATATCTCGGGGGATTCCCGTTAACTGCTGCCAGCTGATGCCGCTGATGGCCGTTTAACATTTGACCCACACATTTTAAGCTCGTTCTGGCAGCGAGCCGGAGTTTGTCAGTTTCAACTGGCGGGACTTGGCTCTAAATAATGTGTTGTGTTGGCACTCGACAAACGTGACTTTTGCCGCCAGTTTGGATTGGATTCTATGGGTGGTGATTGAGGGGTGACTGAGGGGTGACTGAGGGGTGACTGGGTGGTGAATGGGTGGTGATGGTCCCAGGGCCATTGTTGTTGAATCTGAATCTGCGAGCTGCGAGCTGCTGGCACAGGGCATAACTTGTAATAACGCGCTGACCCCGACACACACATTCACACACTCACACACACACACACATAGCACTAACACTAACAAGGGAGGGGGGAGCGGGTGTTCGTTGGCGGGAAAATGCACTCAAAATGAAAATGAAATGTCAACTTACCCGCAGAGGCGTGCGAAGGGCAGAGATGACGCTCTCGTTGCGGCTGCTGCGTTTTGTGGCAGCAACACGTTGTTGTTGCTCCTGTTGTTGTTGTTGTTGTTGTTTCTGTTGTTATTGTTACCGGGTGGTGATGGTGGTAAGGGTGGTGGTGGTGGTGCTACTCTATTGTGGTGGCAGTGGTTCTTCGCAAAAACTTATTCGCAACTGTGAGTATAATTCAGCTGCTGGCTAAAGTCTTCCTTCTTTTGGCAGTGACTGTATGTTGTGTGTGTGTGCGTGTGTGTGTGTGTGTGTGTGTGTGTGTGTGTGTGTTGCAGCTGTGTGCTGAGGCAACTTTAATTGGCAGTGTCTCGATGGCTCGATGGCTCGGTGGGCGGTGGGCGGTGGCTGTTGCAGCAGCTGTGGAAGAGGGCAAAACATAAATCTGCACTTAAATGCGTTCAGCGTTCAGCGTTTGCAGTTTGGCAAAGGGCTTAAGGCTTAAGCCCAAGTAGCCATGCTACCGCACCACCACACTTGCCTACTTTTGTGCGCCAAAAACTTTTTCTTTTTTTTTCGGATCTCTGTGAACTCTGAACTCGCACTCACTCACTGGTCGACAGACGTAATTCTTTCCTTCTTTTTTTTTGTTTTTATATTTTTACCACTAACAAGTTCGCTACTCCGCAATTAATGCAGTTCCACTCAAACTTTAACGCTCACTCTTGTTTTTCTTTGCTTTCTTTTGTGGGCAAGCCCTCGAGCAACCAGAAAAAAAATGGGAAAAAAATATAACCAAAGACCAGAAGAGTTGGCAGTGTTGTGATCTGTTGCTGCTGGCTGGATGGTCAGTAGAGTAGTAGTTTTGGAAACTACTAGTGCTTCTCCAGTTGCTGCTACTCCAGCTGCTGTTGCTGTTGCTGCTGTTGCTGCTGTGACACGACCATGCCGTTCGACTGCCCACGAGCAACTGACTTGCCACTGGCTGGCGCACCTCCTCTTATAGAAGTTGAACACGGTTGAACGGGCCATTGAAAGCGGTGAATTTCCCTGGCTTTCTAAGTTGAACGAGGACAAAAAGGGGAAATTTCTGAGGGCTGTAATTTCCCAGCATAAATGCTAGAAGGTTGATCAACAGGAGATGGTTGCTTACACTTTCCTTTTTATTTTGTTGGTTGCCCCCTTTTTTATGATGTAACCCAGGGGCTGGGGGATGGGGTGGCAAACAATCTGGTCCAGGTTGGGGCACGAAATCAAAACAAATATAAATACCACACCGAGATGGCGTTGGCCGCAGCTGCAGGGGCACAGCCAAGTAGCAACCACACGACCACCCAGAAAAGTTGGCAGCTGAAGGCAGTGGCAGTGTGTCCTGCTGGTAAGCTGGTGCTTATCTTCTTTCGGTTGCCTAAGCCTTCGTCGGATTACGGATTGCGTATTGACAATCACGGCAATGGCAGCCAGATAGCTGAGAAAGTGGGAGAGTGTGCGAGAGAAAGTGCGGGAGACAGTCGTGTAATACCCAGCCAGTTGCAGGCAGCAGCAGCAGGCAGCAGCAGGCAGCAGGCAGCAGCAGCAGGCACAGCCTGCAAATATCAGCTGTCTCAACCGGTTGTGCTTGGGCATTAAATGGCAGCCTCCTAGTTAGTAGGCCACTTTCACTTCTCTTTTTTCCCACCCTATTGGGCCACCCTCGTGGGCCACCCAATTGGGCCACCCTATTGGGCCACCCTTTTCGGCCCATTTGGCAAGCCCACGTTGACGATGAGAACGACGGCGACGCCAGCGTCGAACTCACTTGAGAACTATTTCAATAAGCGTTATGCACGCATTGTCCTTCACCCTGTTTTCTCCACTGTCACTGTGTGTGTGTGTGTGTGAGTGTGTGTGGGCTTGTGTGTGTGTTTGTTCGCCACCTCGCTGCAGTTCTTCCTTTGCCTTTGCCTTTGCCTTTCCCCACCCCCACCCCTTTTGGCCAACAAAAGAAGAGCAAAAATTCAGTCAGAGATAGAGCTCACTTGGTTGGAAGAGATGTTAGATCCTGTCGGGATATAAGAATTTATATAACGAGTAACCTTTCTTTGCAAATAATACTTGCAAAAGTGAAATACATTTGTTTTATTTAAATATTTGAAAATAAAAAAACAATTTCCAGATTGGAAATTCAAAAATTGTATTACTTGGCAACGCATTTAATAACACCTAATAATACTATTATTTGTTATCCCTTCAGATTTAATTTTGTATATATAACATAAATAATGCATACAGAACTTTTTATTTATTTATCATTAAGAAATCATTTAGTAGCTTATCTTCTACATGGTATTTAAATTTTGTTCTTAAATTCCTTATTTAGTAAGTTAAAGTATTAAATATTCTTTATGATGGTTACAAATAGATAAACAATTTTTTCCTATATATTTTTCATAAAGTAGCTTGGCTTCTCTATATTAACTGCTTTCGTTAGTTTTATCTAAAGCAATACAAAGGAAAAATATGTTATTATTTGTGTTTATATGCTGTTATGACACTAAATTCGTTAAATTGATTTTCTGACCATCGTTCTTCCTTTCAAATACCTTGAATTGATTTTGTTTTGGTAAGTGTTAGTAGATTTTTGCCTGCGCCTAGAGTAACCGCTTTTCATCGTGTACCTCTTAACTTTTCCGCTCATCTTCTATTTCCATTTACCCATCCGTCGCCAACGCTGACATTGTTGTTGTTGTTGTTGTTGTTTTTCCTACTAGTGTTGTTGTTGTTGTTGTTGTTGTTGTCTGCGTTGCCTACAAGCAATTTGCGGCGTTTTACATTTTGCATTTTGCGATTCTCATTTTGATTTTGATTTCGGTTGCAGTTGGCGCTGGCGCTGGCGTCGCTGCTTCCTGCCATTTTTGTTGTGTGTGTGTGTGTGAGTGTGTGTGAGTGTGTGTGAGTGTGTGTGAGTGTGTGTGTGTGAGTGTCCTTTTGTTGATTGTCATCTCTGTCAGTCAAGACGACCTGCCAGCCCCACCACTTCGTCCATTCGTCCTTTAGTCCTTTCGAGTTCGCCTTTCGTGAGCCGCCTCAAGTGTCTGTCTGTGTGGCTGCGTGTTTTTCCTTGACTGGGCCACCTTGCGCCAATTATTGTCGCCTTGCGTCGCGACTTTTCAGCTTTTGGCATCAACACAGTTTCAGTCTCACAGTCTCCTTCTCGTTTTCGTTTTCGTTTTCGTTCTCGTTCCCATTCCCATTTTTAGTCGCAACTATCACGAAATGCCTCCAAGGAGTCCAGGTCCACGTTCGCGTCCAGGCAGTTCAAACAAGCTCCAAGAGTGTTCCTCTGGCCTAGCAGACAAACAGACCCGCTTTTTCTTTCCTTTCCCTCACTTTCCCCATGCTTTCTTTTCCGCCTTTACCATCCCGCCGCCGAGTCAGCCGTTTTTCGGTAAGTAGGTCAGTGGCAAAGCTCGCGAAACGAGGGTGGCCACAAAAGTTGGTAGTCATTGATGGAAAAAAGTCACTAAAAATATAGGTTTTAAAAAATTATGGTTACTTTGTATCCCTTAATTGTGTTTAGTACGGTTTAACTGTATTCTTAGCCATTCTTCGATTACTTTCAGAGTATAAATTCAATACCAAGCCAAAATTGTTTAAAATGTTTTACAAAAGTTTGTGATAGGTATGTGCAAATATAGTAAAAACTGTATACATACTTTATAACCCAATAGTTAATTGCTAAATGAACAGTCTAACAAAGAAAGTTACATTAAAATACAAACTTTTAATTGAAAGCGCTCGCTGCAACTAGGAACTAGGTACTTATTCAATAAAGAGCTGATGCTACCTAATTAAAAAACTTTTTTATTAAACAACATATGCTCGGCGAAGGCAAAACGGCTTCTGGCTGATTAATGCTTGCCATAATTAAATGTGCTTCACCTTCCAATTAGAGGGCAACCAGCAAAGAGTTGCGAACTGAAGCTGTCTAGATGTCGAACATTACCTACACTCAGAAAACAAAACTGCTGATTTTAGGAAAAATTACCTTAATTTCAAGGCAATTAAACCTCGTTTTATGTTTTCAATTTTATGACAATTATTCTTAAAATTTAGGCAGTTTTTAGTTTTCTAAGTGTAGTTGTGTTTGTAGTTCATTAGTACGGAAAAGTGAACTGGCTTCGTTGGTAATTTGAACAACAGTACTCTGATTACATTTTTATTAAAACCAGACTGGTGTATGCCTTTTTAAGCTCACATATTGGAAACTATGTAGTTGCCGAATCCTTAGGACGCCCCTTAATTGGATGTTCCTGCCACCGAGCATGACACATGTAATAAGGGGGCAAAAGAATAAAGCACACACACACACACACACACACACGCACACAAAAGAGAGGAAAGATTGGCGAAATTGCCGTGAAAGAGTTTTCAAAAGAATTTCTGTGCACCCTGCCACCCCCTGTCGCATTTACCCCACATCCCTCCTATTTTTTCCGATGTCTGTTGTTGTTGCTCTTGTTAGATATTGTTGTTGCTTGTCCTCTGCTGCTTATTGTCGCTGATGCCTGTCCTTTTGATGCTGAAGGTAGAGGAGGTACTAGAGGTCCTGATGCTACTGATGCTACTGATGGTCCTGCTGGGGAGTCCTGCCGCAGCCCAAACCCTTTGCCGCTTGAGTAACGCTCAGTCACCCGTTTTTGCTACGTTCGCTGCTTGGCTCAGACTTTCCGACTTTGGCCACAAAAATGCCTTGACGCAGTATGTTCCACATTCGGCATTGCCGTGTGTGTTGGATTCTGGTTCTTGTACTGGTAGTGCTATTGGGCTCAGATTAGCCCTCCTCCAGCTACATCTAAAAGATTTCTACGTTTTATTTTAAAAATCACAATATATAGAGTATCATTTCAAGTTATCCTCATCCATTTTTATGTTTTTTGTGAATTCGAAAAAATAAATATTTCTAAATGTATTTAAGAAAGGAAGATTGTTAAATGTAGATAGAGGTGCATATACATGTACGTATGTTTGCAGATCATTGTTGACCGAAATAAAATAATAAATAAGCTGCCAGAGCTTTAAATTATATCAATACTCCATAAGCAAATAAAAAACATTACATTTTCGTATAATCCGCTTAGTTGCAACTACTGGATTACAGGTCAGTGAGGCTTTTTATTTTGGCTTGTATGATTAAATCAATAGTGTACGATGCGATGTGGTGGCATTTGGCATTCATGCCAAGCCAATCCTGCATCCTCCATCCTCCATCCCCAATCCTCCGTCCTCCCAATTCCCCACGCCTCATTTGTCGCATCCATGGCATCAATCGCATCCATCCGTCACCCCTTGCATATCCTCTGCCAGTTCACTTTAGTTCAGCTGAGTTCGGTGCTGGCATTGTCAACGTCCTCGGCACACTCATAGTCATCGTCACCGTGAGCCCCATTCCGAAACCCATCCTTAAACCCATCCCCATCCCCATTCCCATTCCCAAACCCTTCCCCATACCCATCTTCATCGTCATCGTCATGTTTCGTAACTTGAGTTGTTTAATGCACTTTTGCATGGTGACTGGCATTTTTGAGATGCCAACCCCACTTTTTGCCCCCGTTCCGTTCCGTTCCTTTCCGTTCCGGGGCTGGAATCCCAGTTTGCATATCTGATGAACATGCAAAATAATTGAAATGCATTCAAAAGTTTTCCAAATGCCCCGAAAGGAGCAGCCTTGGCAGTGCATTCCTGATCAGGATTTGTGCCTTGTTGGAATTGTTAATCGAGCGTGCCGGGCTGCCAAAATGTAAATGGATTTCCCAGCCATTGCCCAAATCAAGGCGACATTCGGGTCATTTAAATTCAGCCAAATGGCTGACAGAGTGCTGGGCTGCCTCGCAAATGGATGGGTTGTCTGGGTGCTCCTCAAGGCCAAGACAATTGCCAACTAATTATGGTATGGGTGCCAGCTAATCGGACTCAG